GCGGCGCGTCCGGCCCTCCCGGAACCCCTGGCGCTGCGGTCTGCGCCCGGCTTAGCAAATTGCCGTGTGGGGATCTGGGCTTTGTGAGTGAGTTAGACTCCGTTTGACTCACGTACTAATTTACGTTGGAGCACAAATTGGTGTAAGACGGTAATTGTTTCGGTCGGAAGCACCGGCTTGGCTGGGCCGTTCGCGGGGCCGGGCTGCCTGGGCGCCTGGGCACTTGCGCGTCGGCGCTTCGGCCTGGCGGTGCGGCCGCCCCAGTTACATTTGCTGTGTCCGTTGTGGTCTGCAGAATTTGGGGCGTAGGGGTGGGAGGAGGGGGGTCTTGAGAAGCAGCTCGTTTGTTTTATTTTTTTCTTCTTCATTTGCGTTTGCATTTTAATAATTTATACGCAGGTTTCCACTGCGTACATTTAAATAAATGACTTAACCTTGTGTTGCCGGTGCGCCCAGTAGGTCCTTTTGCTGCGGTGAAGTTTGCATTCTCTGTGGGAGTTGTGTTTGTATTGTGTGTGGCGATCCCCCTTAGACAGTAAGCCTGGGACCCAGCAGACACAGAAAAGCAGCTCCTTTTAACCCCCGCCTCGCCTTTGCCGGCTCAGAGGCCTGGCTTCTGATCCTCGGCTTACTGGGTGATGGGGCCACTTTTCACCTTAGGATGGTGGTGAGGTTCCAGGTGACTGTGTCACAGGACTAAGGGACATAGAAAGACTGTAGTGTGTGCTTCCCCAGGGCCCAGTGCAAGATGAAAGACTTTGTGTTTTCGTCCTGGCCTAGGAGATAATACAGTAGATTGGTGGCCTTTTGCTGAACACCTCTAACACAGTGTTTTCTGGAAACTTCAGTAGAGGGGTGACAAAAATATCTAACTTGGGGGTGGGGTGTCAGAGGCTTGTGAGGCTGTGCAGGCTCTTTCCCCCTCACTGGGCTGCAGTCCTGGGAACTGCTCAGGCCGGGAGGGGCGCTGTGGTTATTTTGATGAAATGCAAACCCCACTTTGAATACCAGCCAATGGTTAGATGTGAGAGCCAGGACCCTCTCTTCGCCCTCAGGGTGTTTGTACGGGTTTGGGGGCATTTGTCTGATGGCGTCTTCTGGTGGAAGTGTTTCATTCATCAGCGAAGGTTTTACCACCGGCTTCTTGTATTGGAAGAGGAAAGTAAACAAGCCGATGGGTCCCCAGGCAGATGAGTCAGCCGGCATCCTAGAATCTGTTATTTCCAGCGACTGGCCCTTGTGCCTTGGGTGGCCCTGCGGGAGGTGGGGTTTCTCCACTTGAGGCGGGTCACCTAGGCTCTTGAACAGCCTGGCTGAAAAGTGTTTTGTCCTTTAACTGGAAGCCTTTCCTGCCCTGCCCTAACCAGGCAGGTGGCGGCATGTCCAGGTAAGCATCGCCCGACAGGAAACGTTCATCTGCTGCACTGAGCAGCCTGCAGCTCTGACTTTGCAGCAGAGGCTGAGTTCTCCAATTGAGAAGATGCTCAAACCTTTGCTCTTGGCCAAGAAAATTCTGGCTGAATTTCCTGGATTCAGCTTGAGCTTCTCCTCGGCATTTGTGTCTCTCGTGCTGCAGTGCAGCTCCAAGGGTGGGGAACCTTTCTCCTGCCAAGGGCCATGTGGATATTTATAACATCATTCTAGAGCCATACAAAATTATCAACTTAGAAATTAGCCTGATTAGCCTGCTACATTTGGTCAAACATTTAATTATCTCACCCCTAATGCCTTGGCAGGGCCAGACCAAATGATACATGGCCCACAGGCCAGACATTCCCCACCCCTGAGCTAGACCTTGAAATTGTTTCCTTATGATTGGCAGGTTGTCCTCATTACCCTTTAAAAATACTTATTTATTTATTTGTTTGTTTGTTTATTTTTTGTTAATCCTCACCTTAGGATATTTTCCCTTTAATTTTTAGAGAGAGTGGAAGGGAGAGAGACAGAGAGAAACATCGATGTGTAAAGAGAGACACATGGATTGTTGGCCTTCCACTCGTACCCCGATCGGGGCCAAAGATTGAGCCTGCAATCGAGGTACATGCCCTTGACCAGGAATTGAACCCTCAACCCTTCAGTCCTCAGACCTTATTGCCTTTATTTTAAAAATATATTTTTGTTGATTTCAGAGAGGAAGGGAGGAGAGAGCGATAGCACATCAATTATGAGAGAGAATCATTGATTGGCTACCTGCTGCATGTCCCCCACCTGCATGTGGGGATTGAACCCCCAACCGGGGCATGCGCTCTCACCGGAATAGAACCATGACCTCCTGGTTCACAGGTCCACGCTCAGCTATTGAGCGACACCGGCTGGGCCTCATTGCCTTTTCGATGAGCTGCCTCCCATCCCCACCCTGCTATTTGCAAGCTCTTCCCTGGTAGGAAATAGGATTTTCCTGGGTGCAGCCCCAGCCCTGTATTCCCCTGGGCTAAGTCTTTACTCGCCTGTTTGAAGGGCAGCACCTCTCACTCCTGCCAAGGGAGCCTGGGTGCTGGGCTGCAGCCCCCTCAGGAGCTTCCCACGTACAATCTAAAATTGGCCCCCGTACGTGGAGGGCAGGGAGAGACTGGAGGAAAAAGGTAGACCACTGCAGATGGGGCAGGGCAGGTTTAATAAACAAGGGGCATTACAGCTTGTCTGGGGTGACTTCAAGACAAGTCGTTTCCAGCTCCTGCCCAGCCAATCTTAAAAGTGAACGTAGAGGCCTTACTGGAGTCAGTCAGGAGCCCTGGTCTTCTTGATGACCTCTCCTAGCTCTGGGCCTTTCCTTTCCCCTCCACTTGTTCCATCAGGACCTGCCACAGGTACAGGTGTGGGCCAGGCCGGTTTTCATTGGCTGCTGTGCCTCCAGGCAGGTGGGGGTCTCCTGGCTGCAGCCTTCATGCCACCCCTTAGCACAGCAGGGCCTGGTCCCCAGCAGCGCCCTGGGCTCCACAGAGCAGCAGGCGGCCCCAGCCCTGTGAGCCTGCACTTCATTACGGGAAGGTGGGGGCTGCCCAGACCCAGACACCCCTGGGGGGTGGGGCGGGGGGGCAGGTGGCAGGTGGCGCATCCTTGATCCGTGTTTCCTGCTCCTTATGGCTGACCGTCTTTAGGGGGGACTGGGTGGAGTCTGGGGATGGGGGTGTTACCATTAGGCCAGAACTGGTGACTCCAGGGGCCCCCTTCCTCCAGCCCAGCCCTGAGGCTAAGAGGAAGCCCTGAGTAAGTGAGCGCCTGGCTGGGCACCGGCCCAGCAGCTAATGCTCCCTGGGCACCGGCTCGTCAGGACGAGCCCGAGCAACCCCCGGGTCTGTAAGTACAGGGCTGACAATCCGACAAGCCCGTTTCTTGTCAGTTTTAAAAATAGCAGTGTGGGAACCCTGGCAGGCTCCATGGGAAAGTAATTGGGTTGGTGCGAGGCGAGAAAGCTGTGCTGGGAGCATCCGCTAACGAGGGATTACACCATTTTCCCGCTGCCTTTTCCCAAACCTGGTTCCAGATCTCCCCCCCGGAGGAGCACTTTGTTAGGGAAATACTTTTCACCTCCCCCTCCTGGCCCGTCTTGCCAGAGCCTTTACTGCTTCTCCGCCTGTGTAGGACCCGGGGCCGCCCCTTCCCCTTTTCCAGAGTAAACGGTTCCAGGAAGGGAGGAAAGCCGCAGGAGGCCTTTGGTCTCGGGGATCCCTGAGCACGGAGGCTTCTCCAGCCAGTGTCTTAGAAATGATCCACCTGATATTACTGCTATTTCTCTCCACCCAATTCCCTTCTTGGGATTGGTGATGGTGGTGGGATACGCTTTGCTTAACTCTAAATGAGAGAAAAAAATGGAATTAATGTAATTGCTGTTCTGAAAGGATCTTTAACCAGTTGAAGCTCAACCGGGTCCTGTGAATACCCAGAGATTTTCCATCCAGGACCAGGGGGACCCTGGGGGGGCCCTTTC